GGCTCAAAGCTGAGACTGCAGACAGAGAAGATAAGTCACAAACCAGAGAGAGACAGACCGACATGTAAATGGTTTGGCAGAATAAGCATAAGCAGAAAACAAACCACTGACACTGGATCCAGCTCCCTCCCCCCTGCTCTGCTGCTAAAACACCAGCTTCCTGCAACAAGACGTACTCTGACATTCCTCAGTGTTTCACCTATAAACAGCTGCTCAGGACTCTCTGCATCAGAGTGTACTGTGAAGGTCAGCAGCTCAGATAGGGACAGAGTGAAGCCTGACACATGATCCTGGAGTATTCTGTCTATTATCTAAACTCTGCTCTTAAAAATAGCAGCAGTCACACACAGATATGTTCAAGCAGACACAGAATAATAATGAACAGAGTCATTCAGCAGATGAATCCTGCAGCATCATGACTGAAGCAAAACATTACACAATGTTATCTGCTGCAGTCAGAGGTCCCCATGATGTCAGACATGTTTAAACTGCAGTTACACTCACTGAGCTGCAGATCACACACATATCAGGATGTGGTCTAGCTTAGCATGAAGGCTAATATATTGCATATAGTTTATTCTCATACATGTTTCTCTAATAATAAAATATATCACAATATGACATAAACTGGTGAGTACTGCAGAGTGATGCTGACACACTGGCATGGTGTAGCTGCAGAAATGTGGCAGTTATTAGGGTCAGCTCTGTAGCAGGACTTTATAATCCTCAGCTCTGTTTTAATTAATTACTAATTAACCTCTTTGACCCTGGAGGACCAGCTCTGGGTCAGTTTTCACAGGACAAATCCTCCTGTTTTATATTTCACTTAAAGTTTCCAACATGGGGCTGAAATATTAGGAAGAAAAGCACAAAATGATGAAGAGGTGATAATAATATATCCTCTTATGACATATATGGCAGCATCACTCTTCATATAGGGACATATATGTCATATTTTATATTCCTGTATGGGTTGTGATTGGACTGTCATTGTCCAATCAGATTCAGGTGTAAAGACATGGTCAGAATTCATACTTGCAACTTCAGGGTCACACACGGTGTGGGAGGTTTGAGCGTTGAGTTTTACATACAAGCTTCTGCTTCTATATGTACACAGACACATCACAACTGATCTCATATGTTCGCATATTTTATTCTTTTCTACATATGTACAAACTTTATTTTTTTTGCAGATTTATTTTTGGTTGATTTACAGCTACAAACTTTATCACTATGCAAGCTAAAAGTCTTTTTGACCCTAATTTAAGCCCATACTCTGGGGGGTCAGATGTTGGATGAGTTGCCATGTAAATGTGTTCTTGGTCTCCAGAGGATGAATCCTTGTCAGTCACGCCTGCCTTTCATTAAGGTTTCAGTTTAATACTTTCATGAACACATTGCTGCAAAGCTATGACCTTCTCATCAGCCTCAGCTGTGCCTTGTGTTTTGTGCTAACTGGAAATGTTAGCATGCTGACAGCTTTGTTCCTAATTACAGCCTCACAGAGCTGATAAAGCCAATAATCTAAGCAGCAATAACTTTCTTTAACACCTTAGGTAAGAAACTAATTTTTGTAATTGCTGAGAGTGAGAGGGTCAAGGTTGGGTTTCTCAAACTGGTTGTACAGTTGTAAATTTAAAAGAAGGAAACCACTAATGAGTATCAGAGATAAAGTATGACCATTCAAATGTGTGGCACCTTTAACAATCTGATTTAAGCTAAAACATTCAATAAGATCTAGAAATCGAGGTAAAGGGGATAAGAAGGACAGCTAACATGTATATTAAAATAACCAGGATGACAACTCTATCATATTTGGCTATAACATGAGAGAGGAGCTGAGAGAATTCATAAAAAAGGGGTCTGTAATAAGAGTAAGTAAGTAAAACTTAAAACATCAAAAAAGTTCAAAGAACCAAAAGATGTGGCAAGCTAGCACATTAGTGAACATTCTAATCAGAAGAAAACACAGATCACACAGAAAGCCTCACTCTCACCTTGAGTCTACCCTCCTCCCATTCACCCTCTCACCGTACACATGTTTATTGTGTACACAGGCTGACAGAGGGTGTGGTCGCTGTCAGACACCAGGCTGTATCATTAGAGAATTAACTCTAACCCTGGACACCTGCACAGGTACATACAAACACAGGAAGTGAGTGTTGTAGCTGCAGATTATGACCAGGTCTGGATCAGGATCAGGGCACAGAGACAGCAGTAATTACAGGAATTAGTCTCATCTTGTCTGGACTGAGGGAAATTTAAAACAGGTAGAAACTGAAGACAGGTGGAGCTCTAAATAAAACCTGCTCCTGGTGAACTCTGAACTCTCACATGATCTCCAGCTGTGGGAAATACCTCTGCACCTTTTGTATAAATGATGGTGACTCATCATCATCATCATCATCAACTCTTTACCGTCACAACAGCAGTCACTGAGGCCTAAACTGTGGAGAACTTTTCTGTCTTCTCACTCAGACTGAGCCTCCACTGAACCTCAGTGTATTTTCAGGCTATTTTAACCATGCTGCTGTAAAACTGTCACATTTATGTTCTAAATCTATTCAAAAAACACAAAGACTGTAAATCAGACTGTGAGCTGGTTCATTTTGCTACTTCTATGTCTACAAATAAATCAATAAAAATGCATGAACTCCTCTAAGTGCCTCAGTTCATTCCTTGATGACCTCTGTGAAAGACTTGTTCCCTCCCTACTTGTTCTCTCCCAGTCACAGACTGGTTTCCATTACATCCCAGCATGGCGTGGCACTCTCGGCCCCACAGAGGAATTCTTTTTCTCGTGGAGGTGGAGAGGTCATGACCTACAGTCACATGACCAGAGGTCAATGAATTCAGGATGTCTGACCGGGTGCGCAGAGCGTTGGCAGAGATGGATCAGTCATCAGGTGTATTGAAAAGAGGACACGAGTGATGTGGAGGAGAAGTTTTGGTCAGCTGCAGAAGACAAGGTTGACTCTGTTAGAGTGTTCAGATGTGAGATGAACTGTTTTGTAACTGTGTGGGTCTCAAGAAAGAAGTGTGTCAGAGTCAGAGACAGAGACAGTGACAGTGACAGAGTCAGAGTCAGAGTCAGAGTCAGAGGCAGAGTCAGAGACAGAGACAGAGACAGAGTCAGAGTCTGAGACAGAGTCCGAGTTAGAGTCAGAGTCCGAGATAGAGATAGAGACAGAGACGGAGACAGAGAAAGAGTCAGAGACAGAGATAGAGTCCAAGTTCGAGTCCGAGATAGAGATAGAGATAGAGTCAGAGTCAGAGTCAGAGACAGAGACAGAGTCAGAGTCTGAGACAGAGTCCAAGTTCGAGTCCGAGTCCGAGATAGAGATAGAGATAGAGATAGAGTCAGAGTCAGAGTCAGAGTCAGAGTCACAGTCAGAGTTATAGTCAGAGTTATAGTCAGAGACAGAGTCAGAGTGCGAGTCACAGTTAGAGTTAGGGTCAGGGGTATTTTAAGTGGTCTGAGGACATGTGGAGAGACGGGACGAGGTCTTTCCTCCATGATGGAGTCACATTCTACCACTCCACATCAGTGATCTGATTCACCTCGACCTTGAGGTGATATTCAAAGGTCAGAGCCCCCATGTGTGTAATCCTGACCCATCCCACCTACACACACGTGTTTACATTCAAACAAATGCACACAGCTCAAGAAACACAGATGGCAGCACATTGCTGAGCGATTACACACACGCATGCATGAACACACCCATTACACACAGCGCACACAGCCGGATGAGAGTGTGAAGTCGAAGTGTGTGTGTGTGTATTTGTTTTTGAGGTTCAGTCCTTAACACAGCATAAATGAAAAGCTTCTTATTTTGAGCTCAGATAGAAAACTGGGTCATGGTGTGGTCCCTGGCCCTGGCAGTGAAATGCCCTTGGGGCATTGCTTTAGAGAGGATATATATACACATTTCAGCTATGTGTGTGTACTTGGCAATACTGTGTAACCAGAGCTTATTATCCCTGTGGTGTGAGGGGGGCTGTGAGGAGCGGGGGGCTGTGAGGAGGGGTCTGCTGCACACAACAACACAGGACACCCACAGAGTCAGAGTGGGAACAGACACACATGCTGCTGCTCCGTCAGTGAGGGGATGAAGTGATCAGCATAATCACTGTTTTAGAAGAGTCATAATTACAGGCTGCAGCACTGTAGTCTGTCCTGTGTGTGTAACTATACCTGTACGCCTCACTGACAGACAACGATGTGACCGAATCACCTTAAGAGGCTGTGCTCACTAAACCATCTCATCACCAACATCCTGCTGAAGATAAGAACGAATCTGGACTATACTCTAAAACCCACCCACCATCCAGTCTCTGCTGGTCTGCCACCGAGTCCAGAGTTAGGTTCAACCTGATGTTGTAAAGATGACACCTCCCTCAGGTCCCCTCTCACTGTGACACTCCCCACACCCACCACATGGATGTATGTCCTGAAATATCTCAGCCTAGAGTGATGGATCACAGGAGTGGGGGTGCTGCTGTGTGTGTGTGTGTGTGTGTGTGTGTGTGTGTGTGTGTGTGTGTGGGTGGGGGTGGGGGGGGGTGGGGGGCGCCTTCATCAGGGTTTTGCGGTCAGAATTTCTCTCTGCGGCAGTGTGAATGAAAAGTGGTTTATACAGGACTGGTCTCAGTCTGCAGCAGGTCTAATGTAAACTGGACATTGGGGGGTTCATACAGGACTGCAGTATTAGAAGTGTGTGTGTGTGTGTGTGTGTGTGTGTGTGTGTGTGTGTGTGTGTGTGTGTGTGTCATCTGACACACACCACACACACACACACACACACACACACACAGACAAAGCTCTCTCTCCAGTTCAGTTCTCATATACATGCCGTTAACCGCCTCTGCCTCTATAGGCTCTCTGTCCGTCTTCGTGACGTCACAGCTACGCACAGGCTCTCCGCTCGCTAATTAGCCGCCGCCGTCCCTCCCTCCTACTAGGTAACTTGTGGAGAGTTTCGGGCGGAGTCGGGGACGGACGGTTTATATTCGGGAGCCTTCCTGCAGCAGCAGCTGGATACCTCTGCGACTGGCTGGACGCGGTAGACGCACGGAGGGAGTCCGCCGAACACTGACTGCAGGACCGCGTTAACGGGAGTAAGTCACGATGCCTTCGAACAAAGACGACGGCGGCTGGAAGAAGTTCCTGTGGGACTCGGAGAAGGGGGAGCTGCTCGGTCGTACTGGGAGCAGCTGGTGTAAGTATCCTCACTATCTGCCCCGGTTGGCAAAATGTCACTGCAGCGGGAGCGCGCGCGGCGGTCTCCTTGTGTTTCTTGCCACCTGTTAGATTTGACTTTGCTGCACCTGGAGAGAACCGGTTCATTTTAATGTGTAAACACTGAATAAACGGCCAGGTGAGAGCCGCTGCCTGTGACGTGTCAGAGCCGCACATGAACCGGCTCCAGGTGTGTGTGTGTGTGTGTGTGTGTGTGTGTGTGTGTGTGAGTGAGATTGTACATGCAAAGAGTGTAGCCGCTGCGGTGCAGAGACGCGGCGGAAAGCGGCTGCTTCGCTTGTTGTTAGGGAAACGTCAAGGTGTGTGTGTGTGTGTCAGTTTGGGAAGCGGGAAGGCGAAGGGTTAAAAATGCATCATAGTCCAAGGTGAATCAAGGTGATCGGGCCTGCTCGGAGGCGAAGGCGGGGCTATCGATCCGTGTCGGGTTCGTGTGCTCAGGTGTCACTGTGATCTAACCGACAATACACTGATTAACTGCTGCGACCTTTCTTCTCCTGTTTCCCCGGCAGCGCCACTGCGCATGTCCTTGTCTCTCTCCTCAATGTCAAACGGCCCCGGTCCCGTCCGGACTTTGACACCTGGGTTAAATGTTGTCTTAGTGACTGTGTGCTCGGGGCTGGGGGGTTTAGGGGGGGTCCGGCGTCCTTCCCGGGTCATCTGAAAACGCTGATGCGTCTGGGAAGTGTGCCATACACAGTGCTGTGCTGAAGGTTCAGGACATCAGTCTAGCATATCAGATGTTCTAAGTCCAGGTTCACACATGAGTGGAGCTGGTCTGAGCTGAGGGGCTGTGGACCTGCAGGGATCAGGTTTACAGAGGACTCTGATGGTCATGTCTCAGTGGCTCAGGCTGCTGTGACCCTTTGACTTTGCTCCTGCAGCAGCTCAACTGGATGTGTGGCATTTTAGCTGCAGGACTAACAACTTCAGATCCTGCAGCATCTTCACGCTAAGATTGATTAGCATGAGCAATCATTACTCAGGCTTCACAGCTGCATTCCTCTCATCTGCTCACACAATGGCTGTCACTGTTGGGCCGGGTCATTCTGAATGCCGGCTTTGTACCTCTCCACTGACAGAGGAGACGCAGCTCTGTTAGCACGCTGGTGTCCGACAGACGTCCTTGGAGCTGGAGCAGCTGGATGAAGGAGTCCTTTATGGTGGAGAGGCAGAGCAATGAGTCCTTTTAACACATTCATCTAAATATAATCACTTGTTAAAGTATTAATCAGTTGATGCATTGATCATCTTTGATCACAGTCAACAGTCCTGCTGCAGATACTGGATCAGGTCTGGGTTTGACCTCTTGTTCCTCTGTAGCAGACCTGATCTTGGAGGTGGTCTATTTCCCCCCTTATGTCTCATGAGACCATGAAATCCTCTGCCACGTTTGTCCCCGTGTCTTCCAAGATGTCATATGATGTTTTCCCTCCAACAGTGGCTCTTTGTCACTCAGCTGTGATGGTGAAACACATGGATCAGTCACTGTGTACACACACACACACACACACACACACACACACAGGTTTAAAAGCTGGTATTGTGTGTGTGTGTGTGTGTGTGTGTGTCTGATCATGGAGATCAGAGTGAAGGTGGAGTTTGAAGATGGGTGTGGTCTGACCCCTGGGTACTACTGTAGTGATTAGTGAGTGCTGGGGTTGGCGTGTCATCACGGCGATCTCAGTGTCAAATTGTCTGTAGTTTTAGTCATTAATGTATTTTTTAACATGTAATTAGCGGCACACAGGTGATCAGCCTGTAAACAGCTGACTGGAGCAGACGTGATACAGGTGACTACAGGTGAATACTGAGGGAGGTGGTGGTTGGTTTTCACTGTGAGTAATGACCCTACAGTGAGACTGTAGAGGCTCAGTGATGATACTGTGTGATTATAGTGGAGTAGAAATATTGTGACATCTTCCTACTGTCTTCAGAGTAGTATAAGTGAATGACAGCAGCTGTCCTCGTCAGTGACCCCTGTGACCTTGTGTTCCTCTTAACCTGTCATCTATGGTGTGATGTCATCACCAGTTGACGCTCTCTCTCCTTCTGTTTCTCCTCACAGTCAAAATCCTGCTCTTCTATGTCATCTTCTATGGCTGCCTGGCAGGCATCTTCATCGGCACCATCCAGGCCTTGCTGCTCACCCTCAGCAACTACAAGCCCACCTGGCAGGACAGAGTCGCACCTCCTGGTAAGAGGCCACGCCCACTTTCTGTCAGCGTACAGTCGTCACGCAGACATAAAAAGAGCCGGATAAATGAGTGCGTGTGTGTGTGTCTTGATGTGAGCTCAGCTTGTTTTCCTCAGTGTGTGGACAAAGACATGAACGTCTCATTAAGTCCGACTCTGAGCTGATGGTGGACGTCAGTCTCTGTCTGTGGAGACAAAAACACACAGACACCATTTATTTTGGCAGCTGACCTAAATAGATCTGCCTTGACCCACATCCTCTGTGTTCTCGCTGTTAGCTGTTCCCTGTTCTCTATTAGCTGTTCTCTGTTAGCTGTTAGCTGGAGTCTCTCATGATGATTGTTTTGTAAACATCTGTATCTAAGGTCAATGTTGAGATGTGAACCTCAGAGATGATGCACGTGGACATTATCTTATTTATTAGTAAAATCTAAAGATGGGATATTAGAAATGAAATTAACTCATAATCACCTGCACAGGTAATGAGATTGTCTCAGATGTGGTACTACCTGTGTTCAGTGTCTGAGCTGTAACATGGCTGCGCTTTGTTTTGGAAATTAAAGCTTCATCTGTCTCCTCCTCCTGGTCCCAGAGCAGCCTCCCCTGTGTGGTTACCATGGTGAGGAGGGGCGGTGGGGGTTCACAGGTCAAACTGAGCATGTGCTGAGCTGCTTTCTGTCTCAGAGGGTGCAGGTGCATCATGGGTCATGAAATCGACTGTCAGTGACTTGATCTCAAGTCAGCTAAAAACACAGCATCAGCTTCCTTACCCACAAGTCACCTGAGATCTATCAGTTTCAGGTCTGGACCACGTTCAGCCAGACCAGGATCAGGAGAAACCAGATCCTGCTATTGATACTGATCGTCTCCTCTAGATCTGCACAAGCTGACAAAAATGTGCATTTCCCAAACAGCTGCTGTTCCTGAATGTGTCATAGTATCTGGACTCGGAGATCTCCTGAGCTCTCTCTCTCTCTCTCTCTCTGACTTCTTCCTCTGGTGTGTGTGCGTGTGTGTTCCCCTCAGGCCTGACGCATACCCCCCTCTCAGATAAGGCCGAGGTGTCCTTCAGCCTCAACGACATGGAGACCTACCTGCCGTACACCAAGACCCTGAAGGAATTTCTGGCCAAGTACGACGAGGATAACCAGAGGGACCAGATGAAGTATGAGGACTGCGGAGGTGGGTTTCACTCTGGAGTAATGTTTCCATAGCTGCAGCATAAAGACCAGATGCAGATGTTCCGGATGTCCCTTCAGTCTGGGGGTCACTCAGGGGTTAAAGATCTCCTCACTAACCCCTTCCTCCCTCCCTCCAGAGGAGCCTGCAGACTACAAGAACCGTGGTGACCTGGAGAGCGACGTGGGCATCAGGAAGGCCTGCCGCTTCCACAGGAGCCTGCTGGGACCCTGCTCCGGCATCGAGGACCGCGAGTTCGGTTTCAAGGAGGGAAAGCCGTGTCTGATCGTGAAGCTGAACCGGATTGTCAACTTCCGTCCACGGGTAATGTTGAATCAGTCACTGTAACACAACCGCGTAGCTGATGTAGACAGTGTAGCTCATTTAAAAGGGAGAGTTAGCATCAATGCTAGCTTCTACATTAGCTGCTGCAGCCAGAGATGTTACCTTCTGTGCAGACTCTATTCAGTCTGTCCCTGCAGGGGAGCTAACAGAAGCTAACATCTGAGTCCGTGACCGTGGTGATGCATTTACTGACTGTCCATGTGCAGCGGAATGAGACGGCATCACTTTAGGTTCCTAGGATAAACAGCTTCATTAACTTGTGTCATTCACTGACCCAGACACAGTCACATCAGTTAAACACAGTGGACCTGAGTCCAGTCCAGATCCTAACATGTCCTCTCTGTGCAGCCTCCCACCTCCAACGAGAGCATCCCTGAAGAGGCTCAGCCCAAGGTGCAGCCCAACGTGGTCCCTCTCTACTGCACCAACAAGGTACTCACTGTTGTTTGTTTGTGTTGTTGTTGTCGCAGATGTATGCTCTGTAGTTCTGTCCCTCACTTGTGTCTCTTCATCCTCCAGAAAGAGGAGGATGCTGGGAAGATCGGTGAGATCAAGTACTACGGCATTGGCGGCGGCTTCCCCCTGCAGTATTACCCCTACTACGGCAAGCTGCTGCACCCACAGTACCTGCAGCCGCTGGTGGCGCTGCAGTTCACCAACCTGACCATGAACACCGAATTGCGCATCGAGTGCAAAGTGTTCGGAGACAACATCGACTACAGCGACAAGGACCGCTACCAGGGACGCTTTGACATCAAGCTCCAGGTCAACAGTTTATGACTGTGATCAGAGCCGTAGCACTTTGTTCCACTGCTCCCACGCCAGTAGCCACCAGCACGCCCCCACCTACCCACCCCCCCCCACCCCGAACCTATTTAACCGCATCTACCGTAGAGAAGAACGCTCAGCGGAGGGCGGTAGGCGTTAGCGGTTAAGTCAATCACAGTAGTCTTGAATGAATAATGAGAGAACCCTGCTAGAGGACAATGTGTAATCTGCTTTCATCCCTCGCTTCACACCTCTGTCTCGCATTAGAATGTAATTTAGAGGAAGAGTAGCAATAGGCCTAATAACTATTTATTCAGCTGTAACAGAGACTTCTCCACGAGCCATGGGACATGCCCATCACCACTGTCAAGTGAACTTCATGAGCGCCGCGTAGCCAGCTGTGAGTGTGTGTGTGTGAGTGTGTGTGTGTGTGTGTGGGGGGCTTCAGTAGATGTCTGTGGAGTGTGCAGTGGTCTCAGAACCTGGTCCTTCAAAAACCAAGTCCTCCTCATCGTCTTCTATGAGCAACCTTTAGCAGCTGTGTGTGTGTGTGTGTGTGTGTGTGTGTGTGTGTGTGTGTGTGTGTGTGTGATGTGAACACACATTCCACTTCCTTCATGACTGAGATAGTTGGTGTTGTGTGTGAGGAGAAGCTGCACTCCAGGGAACTTCTGTCCTCTCTTTGTTTGTTGTCCAGCTGATGGAGGGACTCTTTTCTTCTTCTTTTGTGCTTTGTTGAATCACTTCCTGTGTGCCGGGGTTTTATTTTTGCTGTATGCCTTTGACCTTATTGATTTCGCCTTGAATGTAGAGCTGTGTGTGCGGCCTGCTGTGAGGGCAGTGGTGCTAACCCAGGTCTTTGTTGTGTTGCCGGCTCCACCACGGCGCTGTGGCGTGGTGGAGCCCTCCCCTGAATGTTTTTGCCATTAAACATAGTGGAAGAATTTTATATTTATGCAGTTGTACATTTTGTTTCTTTGTCATGTATAAATGCAAAACCAAAGTGAAGAGAGTCTTCATCAGAAGCAATGCAGTACTCGTTTCTACGATCATTGTCACGTTCAGTGCTACAGTCAGTGTCTCGTCTCGCAGCCTTTCACTGGTCAACTCTGATTTGTGTTTTAGCCATGATGAATGTAGCTGGTGCAGAGTGAACAGGAGGAGGAGGAGGGGGGTCTGTTCATCCACCTCTGTCATTCAATCAAAGATAGAAACAAATAAAATCATAATGGACCTTCATTGTCTTCTCTCTTCATTCATTTGTCTGCGTGTGACATGTACTCTCTATATAGTGACCACAAACTCCTACAGATCCCCATAGTGATGTCTCATCTTATGTACAATGAGAGAATCTGACTGTACTTACACTAAGCTCTTTGTTGTTGTTGTTTTTTTTTTTTGTTTTTTTTTTTAAAAAGCTAACTTTATAACATATAGAAAATAAATACTCTGTTCCCTAACACAAAAACAAAGTCCAGTGTTTCCTATGCTAAAAGAGATAAGATCTGAAGCACTGAAGTTCCTTTCCTCAGCTCAGATCATGCTTACTACTTAGGTATTTCAGGTCACTTCGCTACATTTGAACATTCATACCTTCATAAAAGACTTTTGAACAAATGAGGTCAAGAAAAGAAGTGAAGAAGAATCAGGAAAAAAATCTGACTGCACTTACACTTTTTTTTTTTATATAACTAACTTTATTGGACACATGGACATTAATCATAAAACAAACAGGATTGAAAAAGATGACATGAAAGAAAAATAACAAAACTAATGAACTGAGTGAGCAAGAGGCCAGAATAAATTATATTCAGACATACTTTTTTATACATTTGTTTAATAAAGAAAACACTTTTAGTGCTTTAAACAATGGAAGGATTTAGTGGGATAAAACTTTTATGTATATAGTATTTAGTTATAATGAAGATGATATTGCTTGTTTTTCATGATGACTCCTGACTGGATTTAAAGAGGATAAATCTGTATTTAAGGATCCGGAGCTCAGACAATCAAAGTTCTGGGTTGCGTCACAAACAAAACAGTTTCTCTGTTGTTTCTACATTCATGTGGGTGTGCAGCGGTTAAACTACAACTTTAAATGTTGCTGCAGGAATTGTGGGACAGCATTTCTCCTTTCCTTTCATAAAGGAAGGTTTGAAGCATTGAAGCTCCTTTCCTCAGCTCTGATCATGGCTGCTGCTCAGATACTTCAGTTCTTACCTACCTGGTACCTGACCCAACATGGACATACTTTGAAAAAGTGGAGTGTTTCCTCCAGGACTGAACCAGTTGGTAAAACCTTGTATCTAAACCCAGTTAGCTCAAACCTCCTCACTAAACCTGACTGAGTGATTCACCTCTACCAGCTCTGTAACAGAGACTGTAGAGTCTGTAGTGTGCTGATCATTCATGTGTTCACTGTAGTGACACTGATGCTAACAAGAAGAAAAAACACTCACTCACACTGACTCACATCTGTAGTCAACTCTCTAAGTTTTAATGATTAGTAATTACATGGTACTTGTGTTGATGTTGATCATAACTGTGTTACTGGTCCTCAGTCACAGTCACTGTAGTCAGAGCTGAAGTGAACAAACTTTATAATATCTACAAGCATAACTCAACATGGCTGCCATCAGCTCAGAGCTTCCTACTTCAGGAACAAGTCACCTGATGTCAACATCTGGAGTCAAACCTACATCTTATACAGTCCAGAGGATCTGGAATCTAGACTCACATATAGAACACGGATTGGTCACAAAACCTCTATTTTGACGTCGGAGTTCCGACGTAAAATTTGACGACAAGAAATAGCGTCTTTTCACGTCAATTACGTCTAGACAACAGAAAATGTCTTAACACGCTAGTTATGATCGCCTTAAGACGTCTGGACCATTAATACTTCCATGCTATTGGTTGTCGTCAACCACCTTACCCTGTTTATTACGGAGGAGCTATGTTTCATATACGTTGGGCTGTATGTATCCTTACGTTGTGGTCACGTGAGCTCTTGCTAGTGGGTACGTTTGGGCTACGTACATATCATGGGTCTTGTATGCAACTGTAAATCAGTATTTGGGACAGGCCATTTGTGCAGAGGTTGTGTCAAGTATTAGTTATAACTTCTGACTAAACCACCGAAACTTGTGAAAGACAAGCTCTCTCCTCGTCTGTTCAAAATTCAACAGGTTGCCATTTGTGCTCTAATACTGCCATCTAGTGGGCACTTAGACAAACACACCACATTAAATGAATATGTCAATTATGATATTGAAGTTACATTTTTATCAATGAGTAGAAGTATATATATATATATATATATATAAAATGTATATATGTTTTATCTAAATATTATTATTAATAATCAATATTCCTAATCTTAGGTACAGGTGAGTGTCTGTACAGAGCAGCAGTGTTAACCCTTTCTGTACACACATGTACTTCCTGTCCTGTCTCTGTCTGTGAGCTGACCTTTGACCCCACCCTGTGTGACCTAACACAGGACTGACTGACCTGTTGTTGATCAGATGCAGACACACACTGAGGTATGGTGTTTCAGGTGCCAAGTGACACAGGGGCCACAGGGGCTGACAGTCAGCCAATCAGCAGCTGCTTTTATCTTTTTCTGGAGCTTTCCATCACATCTGTTGATCGGCATCAGCAGAGAGCTTGAATGAATGACTCAAGTTCAGACAGAGCTGCTGATGGATGACGATACTGATGAAGACTGATGAAGACAGTGAGAGGACAGGACAGTGACATGAGGAGAGTAATGGAGCAGTGAGACATCACACTGTCTCCATGGCGACTTAACACCAGTTTATCCCACCACCACTTCTTCTGACCCGCTGGGAACCTGCTTGCTCTCTCTGCTCTCATTAATAATTCATCCTCACACACACATATACACACACACACTGGAGCATGTCAGTAATTGATTTCATTCACTTTAAATGTCTCAGGTGAAGTAAGGTGTAGGTGTAGAGACAGCTGTATGTGTACCTGAGGCTTGATCAGGTGACTGCAGTGACTGCAGGTTTGGAGAGGAGCCAGGAGAGAGAAACCACGCCAACACACACGCACACACACACACACACACACACATACACACACACACACACACACACAAGGGGTGTAGTTAGGAGGAGGAGCCTCTGTCAGGTGTTGGGAGAATCAGTGTTCTCATTCCAAGCTGTTTTATTATATAATTCAATGTAAACAGAGACAAAGGGAGGATGTACTGTTGCTATAGTTACTGACCTCAGCTGCTCACAGTACTCTACTGTATCTGTGTGACTGAGAACAGAGAGTCAGTGTGAGACAATGATGACCGTGAAACTGCACAATAAACTCTTCACATGTGATGACCTCATCACTCCCTGCACTGGCCCCGCCCCCAGGGAAACACATGTTCAGCTCTGCTGCAGCTCAGAGACTCTTTGTTTACTGTGAGAGGTCTGACTCTGGAGGATCAGCTCATCTGGACTCTGATGAGCCATGATGAAGCTTCCAGAGGAGGAGGAGGAGGAGGACGACCACAATCTTCCTCATGGTGTCATCTCTTCCTTTCTACACAAGGGGTGTAGTTAATCTCAACAACTTTATGCCAAGTGATAAAAAGGCACATTTATCCTATATTCTGTGTGTGTGTGTGTGTGTGTGTGTGTGTGTGTGTGTGTGTGTGTGAGAATCTAACATCACCACATGTCCGTTGTTGTGTTACTGTGGTCCTTTAAGAGAAATGAGCAGGTTCACAGATTCTCCATAAGGTCTATCAGTTTGTCATGAAGTGACTGGATCATATGATCAACAATCAACCATGTCTGCTGGAATATTATAAACTGATATAGAGGTGTATCTTTCTGACTGACTCCTCTAAGGTTATGTCTCCTATATATATATATATATATAAAATATTTTATTCCAACTTTATGAGGTGTGATGCTGTCTCACTGCTCCATTACTCTCCAACTTTATGAGCAAGTGTATATATATATATATATATATATATATATGCTCATAAAGTTGGAAAATATATATATATAAAACA